AAGGGACTCACGTTAAAAAAGCACCCTGATTTTACGGAAACGTAGTGAGAGGCGAGGGGACTCACGTTAAAAAAGCACCCCAGTTTTGCAGAAACGTAGTGAGAGGCGAAGGGACTCACGTTAAAAAAGCACCCCGATTTTACGGAAACGTAGTGAGAGGCGAGGGGACTGACGTTAAAAAAGCACCCCGATTTTACGGAAATATAGTGAGAGGCGAGGGGACTCACGTTAAAAAAGCACCCCGATAAGGAGTTTAAAACCGTACTGCAACCTCCACGTGATAAACTCTGGAAACTATAAAAATTAAAAAGTATACATATTATAGGCTAATTGCAGACGTACATATGTGCTATTAAAATCACATCGAACACCCACAACGCGGAATGGCAGTGCACTGTGCGCCGGAGTGACGCGACGCTTACGATTTTCGTATTTTTAACTATGTTCCACTATTTTAAAAAAATTGAAAAAAATATATGTTATAGTGGACACTTTAAGAGAAATGTTCGTAAAAATTTCAAAGGAGTACCTCGAAAATATTACCCTAAAAAAATATATTAAAAAATCCAAATATTTTTTTTGGTTTTTTTTGGCTAACATTTTGGACATTTTTTTTTTAATTAGTTTTATTAGTCTACATAACATATATTTTTTTCATCAAGATCGGTCAAGTGGTTTTCGAGAAAAATACATTTCTTTATTTTACTTTCTCCTTGCATAACTTCTAAAAAAATGAATTTTTTTAAATAATATTTGGTAGAAAGTTTTATCATATTGGTACTAACTTGTGACATTAATGTCAGCTCTGTATGATCAAGGGCCGATTTCACATGCTTACTCCGCTAGGCCCTTTATGCATGGACTCGGAAAGTATGCAAAACAATATCAAAGATATCAAAGACACTGAAAACATTGAAAATGTCGAAAACGTCAAAAATGTTAAAGACATCGAAAATGTCAAAGACGTCGAAGATATCAAAAATATTGTTTTGGATACTGATAATAATATCGACGCATTTCGTTTGTATTCTGAAGAGATTAGTGGACAACTTATCGCCGATTTAGGGCATGTTTTTGTTGAATTGCAGAGACTGTCCGGTCACTGGATTGGCGAATGTCGTTTTATTGATCTTGTTTTTAGAGTAAAGAAGCGTTACGATCTGATAACCCAATTTGCTGTCAAATGTCGAATGTGTCACTTCAAAGGTGACTTTTGGAGTGAATCGACAGATGAGAAAATATTGGATGTCAATAGGGGTATTGTTTCCGGTACTATATTGACAGGGACCGGTCATAAACAGTTTGAAGAACTTCTTGCTGCTGTAGATATTCCATGCATGAGTAATAAAACATATATAAAGTATCATAATAAAATGTCGGAAACCTTCGCCGTCGCCGCGGAAGAAGAAATGCGCATGGCTGGCGAAGAGGAAAAACGTTTAGCAATTGAAAGAGGAGATATCATAGACGGAATTCCGCATATACCCGTGATAACAGACGGCTCGTGGATGAAGAGATCCTACCGTACTGGTGGTTACGATTCTCCGTCCGGTGCAGCTATTATTATGGGATGTTATTCTAAAAAAGTCTTATTTGTTGGTGTTCGAAATAAATATTGTGTTGTTTGCGCGAGAGCAGCTAAAATTAATGCAGTAGCAAAAGAACATATATGTTTAAAAAATTGGAGGAGCAATCAGACCTCCACTAGTATGGAAAGTGATATAATCCTCGAAGGTTTCCGACTTGGTTTAGAAATGCATGGCCTTATTTATAGTAAATATATCGGTAACGGTGATAGTAACGTATTAAAAAAATTGAGAAATTTTCCACCGTATCCAAATATTGTTGTGCAGAAAATTGAATGCACAAATCATCTTCTCCGCAATCTTTGTAATAAAATACGTGAAGCAAGTAGTACCGGTAGTAGAAAATATTCAAAATTGAAAAAGGTCGTTGAGCACAGCGTTATGAAAAGTCGAAACGCTGTGGTCAAGGCTGTCACGTTTCGTCGCAATCGTGAAGTTAGTTGGCAAACAAAAATTTCCGAATTAATTAAAGATTTAAATAATATTCTTAGCCATATAATTGGTGAACATAAAGATTGTGCTTCGCTTCGATATTTCTGTAATGGACAACAGAAAGAAGGCGAAGAGAATCTTGTGCCCCAATTACAACGTGCAAATTTATTTGAAAAATTAGAAAATGCTATGAAACGCATTGTAGATAATGCCAATAGCTTACTTTATAAATATACTAGTAATTCCGTTGAAAGTTGTAATGGAATTATAAGTAAATTTATTAGTGGCAAGCGCATTTATTATGCCATGAAAGGTTCTTATCAAACACGCATTAAAGCATCCGTAGTACAATTTAATACTTCGCGAGCCTTAACTTCTGTTTGTCATGCAATAGATAAAGATCCACCCGCACAAAGAAAAATAATTGAAAATAGAAATATAAAGAAGAATGCCAACAAACTTCAACAAACACGTGCGGCGAAAGAATTACAACTCTCTGTTCGTACATCTAAATATTCCGTTAAAATAGCTGATAAAGATTATGGACCTTTTTTTTTAACGTGCGGAAATCTTCAACTACCGGGTTGCCGGGCCGAAGCCCGGTATATGGCCCGGTAGCCCCTCCATGGTGTTGTGAAGGGGAAGACCTCCCTGCCTCCAAGAGAGACAAGGGGGAGTGCCGGATTTTTACCGGCTAAAACCCCACGGGTGTCCAACCGTCTATTGAGGGACGCCCGGGAACTGTTGATCATTACTTCCGGGCGCCCCCCAACACCAGGTCCTGACTGGACCTACCTCTCTATGAGCCTTTAGGCTTATAGGCTCGAGAGCCTCTTTATATCTATTTGTGTAGCGGGATGTGGACACCACCCACCCCGCCACCTTTTCCGGTGCTTTTGGAAGGTTCGGTTCGATGTCCCGCAGTCCCCGACGAGGCACCGAACCACTCGGCCTCCGAGAACTTCCCCCGTTCGGAGAGGAGTCCCGAAGGTGCAACTTCTGCCCGTTCGGAGCATTGCTCGCCCCGCACTGTCCTCCACCGTTTGTTGGTGGTGGAGGGAGGACAGACAGGTCAGGTTTGACTTAGCTGTCTCCCTGGTTGATCTAATCGGAGAGGTCCGCCGCTGGGGGAGAAGGTAGATCTCTCTCCCCGCGACGGATCCTCTTCGCCTCCTCCTTGGAGGACATAACCCTTCCGCAGTAGTGGTGGAAGGCTCTCCAATTCTCCTCCCTTCCGACAATTGCCGCCACAACTGCCGGAAGGGAGAGATCCTGCCCTATCTTATCAGTTAGGACACGGCGCGCTCTGCCCAAGCAGGGCAGTATTGCAGCGTATGCTGCGCCGTGTCCCTCTCCTCGTCGCAGTGGTGACATCTTGTGGTGGCCTCTTTCCCAATGCGGTGCAGGTAAACTCCAAAGCATCTATGCCCCTGCATTAACACCTGCACCGCATGATATGACACTCCGTACCTCTGACTGTCCAGCCATTCGGCTAGGCAGGACCGGTTGGCGTCGACGGTCCTCTGCCCAAACTCAGCGTTGGCCAAATACTCCTGCCAGCGCCGGATCATGACCGTCCTTTCCTGGAGCCTGATCGCTCGACGTGCCCTGGGCAGGATTGGTCCTGCAGCTCTTTGATACGCCGATGTATCTCGGCGTATTGATGAGCTGCAAGCTCCAGCGGGGGGAGTCCTGTCAGGGCTGTCGCCGCCGCATGCGAGACGGTGCAATACGCAAACATCCGGAGGGCTATTGACCGCTGCACTTGGCGAAGCTTTGCCTTTATGCAGCGCAAGCCCTCTACCACCGGCGCCCAAACCGGGGCGCCGTACAATGTCACGGCGTGCACCGTCGCGGCGTAGAGTCGGCGAGCACGACCGCTCGCCCCTCCCAGATTTGGCATTAGCCTTGCCAGGCTATTTGCCACTCCCTTGGCTCTGGGAAGCAGGCGAGCAAAGTGCTCGCCGAAGCTCCAGGAGCCATCCAGCCAGAGGCCAAGCAACTTCATGCTTGCCCCCACGGAGACACGGGTGCCCTCCACCATGATGTGGGCCTTTGGCGGTCTCCCCATAGACTTCTCGTAAAAGAAGACGGCTTGCGTCTTCTGGGGAGCCATCTTGAGGCCCACCTCCTTTATTGCGGCCACCACAGCCACCACCGCGACATTCGCCTTTTGACTATGGCCTCCCTCCATGTGTCACCTTCTACTCCCAGGAATGTGTCATCTGCGAAGCAGTTTAACCAACATCCCGGGAGGAGGGCGACCCGGAGAACATAGTCATACCCGAGGTTCCACAGGAGCGGCCCTAGGACCGACCCCTGCGGAACCCCTCTCACGACCAGCCGGACCCTGTTACCGTCCCAGTCCGTATAGGCCAATCGCCTGTCCCGGAAATAGTCGTACAATACGGCTATTAAATACGGGGGAACGCCGTGATACAGCAGCGCTGCCCGTATTATTGGCCACGGCAGGGAATTAAATGCATTGGCCACATCAAAGCCAATGCTCAGCAGTACCCTGCCGGCCTCCATCGCGGCCCCCGAGATGGCTCTGTTACGCAGAATAGCGTTAACGGTAGATTTGCCCTCTTGAAAACCGTACAAAGATTATGGACCTAATGCAGAACGGCCAAATATCCAAGATAATATGTACGAACAGCTGAGACGTTATCATTTTGAAATGTTATTAAAGCAACAACATAATCGTGCTATATTAGAATGTGCTACACGGGATCAGCATGCAAACCCGGAGTGGCACAACATACGGCGAAGTCTTCTCACTGCTTCAAATTTTGGAAAAGTTTGTGCAGAAAAGAAACAACTTTGTGCCAAAATCTTGTAAAAGCAATTCTTTATCCTACTCGATTGACTACTGCGGCTGTCGAGTGGGGTAAAGAATAAGAGATGATGGCACGAGAGCAATTGCAGATGGAATTAGGGATAGAAATTTCTAGTTGTGGTATATTTATAGATGAAACAATCCCATATCTTGCCGCGATGCCTGACGACATTGTTGGAGACGATACTATCGTTGAGATTAAATGTCCTTATGCGGCGCGGCATGTACATCCCATCGATGCAATGCTCAAAAAGATTTCTGATATTCATAGAATATTTGATAAAACCGATGACACTCGAATGAATCAAAGACACGCGTACTATTTCCAAGTACAGGGACAACTCCACATAACGCAAAGAAAGTATTGCATTTTTGTTGTGTGGACACCCCTTGGATTAAAGTACACGATTGTCGAGCGTGATGACAGATTTTGGGAAACAAAAATGTTACCACTGTTTAAACGATTCTACGAAGACTGCTTGGTTCTTGAAATAATAGATAGTAGAGCAGCAAGCAATATGCCTATTCGGGAACCTCAGTATGTCATCGAAGCGCAAGAAGCGGCTAGAAAAAAGGACATAAAAGTGGAAAGTGTTATCGAAAGCACTACCACTTTTGCTATTCCAGAAATGGAGCAAGATGACGATTGCATTATAACTGATTATTATATACGAGATCTAACCATAGACCTAGGATAAGATAGACGGAGCGTAAATTGCTACTATGGACAAGGGGGGTAAGGATAGCGCGGGAGGGGAAATAG